GTTGCGAGGAACGGATCTCAACCGAGCTCTGGTTGAGATTTTTACGCCGCTGTCGGTTTTTGAAGAGGTTTACCCGAAAAGGGATAACCACGTCGCGCTACGGTACGGCTCTGATGGCTGGCTGCCCCGAATCTGCGAGTTCCTCCAATATTGTATTGAGAATCTACAAAACTCAAAACAAGCGAAAGATGCGGCGCTCAAAGCACTTGCGACTCTGAAATCTGTTTTGCTGTGGGCCATTCCTAAGGCCATTATTTCCTCAAACTGTGTCCCTGCTATCGCTAGAGCTTTCACATGTTCAGATGAGCAAGTATTATTGGCTGCCGTCGAAGCCCTGCACTCGTTGTATAGCAGATCCAACATGGATATGGAGAGTTTCCAACCTCTTGTACATTTGATGTACGAGACCGAGTGTCTAGATGTTATGCAGAAATTATACCAATGGTCTATTGTGGGGCCTGACGACATTGACGATACCCGATACATGATCTCGAAGAAGCTGTCCGAGATGCTATCGTATATCGCAGGATTCTTAGAGGAGAAGGGGTTTTCTCTAGAGAGCGCGCATGGCATGAATCTGCCTTTCTTCTTCCACCTGACAATAAGTGTTATTCAGCATCAGAGCTTGATGGTCTCGATCCCCGTCCTCCACGTGTGGTCCAAACTGTTAGCTTCTGAAAGAATAGGAAACACTGATCTGGTTACTGGCTTGATTCCTTCGCTACTAGAGATCTGCACCCAACGGCTGGTCCGTTGGGAGGCCCTACCAACGGATTCCGATGATCCCACAGTAGCATTTTTAAATGACGATATCGACACGGTCCCGGAACGACATGCTTTTGTGGGCAATTATCGCAGATATTGCTCATCAATTATCGAAACGATCGTCCAGAAGCGGCCACAGGAAGCCATCCCCCATATTCTGTCAGGTGTTGACACTAATTTGAACAACCTCTACAATGGAGTTGAGCCTTTCAACGGTGTGTTTGGCTCTGGGAACTGTGAAAAATTTGGGCTAACGTTTAAAAACAGCAAAATCTTTCTCTAAGAGCTCAATTCCTCTGATGCGCGCCGATACACAGTTTGCCGTCGTAGAAGCAACTCTTAAGGGATATAACAAATGGGTGTCCGCCCACGGAAAAATGCCCCAGCAAGATGTAAGTACTGCCAACGTCACCAAATTACATGCCACTGATAAGGAACAGGAGCAAAAGAGAAGTGACCTGGAGGGTATCTTGGAGAAATGGGCTTTCTCATTAATGCAGCGGAGCTTCGAGGTTTGATTGTGTACTTAATAAGGATGGCCGAACACCGCATCGCTAATTGGAGATCCAGGACCCGATTCTCAAGCAGAGAGTTATTAAACTTATTGTTGATATCTCATCAAAGGCTCTCGACAAGGCCCCTAGCTTTGCGCTCAAAGTCCTCGAATACATTCTCATGACTCGACTTCCTGATCAGCCCGAGTTTCCTGCCTACTCCGAGGCCGTGAAAGAACTGCATGGCTTATCCAGTCATGAGCTCAGGCGCCTGGCAATGCGCTATTCAGAGTATTTCGCCGTAAGTTTAGAGCAAATATCTTTCTAGGAGAATATAGGCCTAATGGGTTGTGGAGACATTCTACGACGTACTCGAACCGAAAGTCAAGGAAATTAGCCTCGCCAACCGGGTGGACGACAAACTCCAAATGGAGCTTACCTCCATTCTTCTCATAATCATGTATTAACCATAACTTTGCCCGCCATTCGAAATGTTTTCATACTGACCCTGCTAGGCAACGCGCGAATAACGTGGAACCATATCTACGCCAGTCCCGCTTGGCATCGTTCATAGAGCCCATAAGGCAGGCTTGGCAAGATGAAGAGTTCCGGCAGATGAGCTCCTCTTTTGAAGGATTTTGCTCTATGCTTGGGCTACAGAGCGTGGGGCCGTTCATGCAAGCTCAGCAAGCCCAAAAGCTGGAGGACTGGGCGTCCGTTCCTCTTGACAGCGAGGGTAAGCGGATCCAGGAGGAGATGACTAGAAAGTTTCAGGTAATCCAAATATGAACCGTGACAGCCCGAATAGATTCTGACAGCTAGTCTAGCTACTGCCTTTGAGAGGCACAAAGACGATGCTTGCTGTCTCCACGGATAAGCTCAAAAAGAGTGAACCAGCATACGAGCTTGCGTGTAATGTCTGGCATGAGACTATTCCAATTATATTGCCGACATTGCTGGAGCTTGTCAGGTAAAATGGATTAAATATTATATCTTGGACCGCGTAGCTAACTATCCCGCAGTAATGCACATGCTTTCCACAATCCGGCCAATTGGGGCGGTCTGCCCGGTGAAATGCGGACGGTCGTTGAGCGCATCTTAACCGACAGATTCTGGCAAGCAGGCATATCTACTGGTAGCCGGGATGAGTTTTACGCTAAAATCACCGCATCAAGGGCATCGCTTGAAGGCTTTGCATCCTCGGTGAGAGGTAAGATCAGGGCAGTTAGAGAATCCTGCTACTCGATGCTCTATAGCATGAGTAGACTACGGGAGCACTTCTATGGGTTTGCGGAACTTCCAGGGCCTTTGTCTCAAGCTCTATTCAAGGACTCATCCTGCCTTTCTTCACACCAGTTCTCGGTACTTCTCAATATTGCGAGATGCTTAATTGACGATTGCCCCGTTCGCTTCCGTGGTCACTTCTTGCCTCCGATGCTGGCAACCTTGTTCACCAACATCGATAAGAAGGTTACATCAGAATGGGCTATGATCGAACAACAGAGAGAAGGTCTTGCCGATGCAGATCTGACTGATGAAATGAAATCCGAAAGCATCCTTCGACAGCTGACATATTCTGCGGTAATCATGGTGGCGAGCCTTCTGGACCCGCAGAGAGGGGGTGAGTGACCACATCCGCATATTCTGCTTCTTCAGCTAACACTCCAATGATAGATCCTGACGAGGAACCTGCGGACCCAAGCGCACCACATCCCCAACCTGCGCTCTCTGACTCTATACGCCATTTCGTCCTTTCCTCACCGGAGATCTTTGAGCCTTTGATGCTTTTCTGCACCCATGCGCTTCGTATGCGTGATACCCGATGCTGCAGCATCATTACACGCGTTATCCGATCCATTCTACAAGATTTCGCCCCTCCCAATAACTCTCCAACAACAGTCCAAATCCGTGAATTCATATGCTCGGAGGTTCTTAAAGCATGCATTACGTCCGTGCATGAGCCCTATTTCGTCGACATGCAAAAAGATCTTGCCCAGCTTATCTCCTCAATTTGGGTTCTCTACGGATCGAGCACGCCCACACCCCGCTCTGTGGTTCTCAGTCTGCCTGGTATGGATGAGCAGAGAGTGGCAATGACAGAAGCTTCTCTAGTTAGATCTACCGCTGCGCGCCAACAGCGAGCTCTCATTCTGGATCTTTTGGAAGGTCTGAGGGGCGTCAGCATCGCCGAGCAAGGAAAGATTCTGGGCTCACGAGAGGAACGCCGCAAGGCCCGCAGCGCTTTGCAGGAAAGATACATGACTGCGGAGATGGAAGGCCAGCAAAACAATAAGGTTGATATTAATGACGGGCCGGATCTTACTGGTGTGGCGGATATGTTTGGTTAGAAGGGTCCCCGCGTATATACTGGATAATGACTGCCTCCTTCACTCGCTTCTGTATAGTACGACGGTTCGCGCCATCCCCTTCCGTTGACACCCCCAATTTCCTTGATATTACCATTCTGGCTCCTCTGGACACCAAGATAGAGAACACCACTAAAGCCTTTCATAGAAAGTACATTTTACCTATCAAAATATATTCAGTCAATTCTGAACAGCCCTTACTTTCTATATCGAGAAAATATTGGAACTCTTTTTAACCCAGTAAAAAAAAACACATATTGCAAACTAACCACTCTCCTTTAGACGGTATATCTACACCATACAGTGTCCCCTTCAGCTTTCCTATCGTCTTATCGATCTAACAGGCCCCGCACAAAGACTCCGAATTGTGTTGTAAGCATAAACCAGGACCCGTCCACCGAGGTGCTCAATTAAGCATGCAGAGTTAACATAAACGAATCCGAACACATGACAATTGCAATCGCTTATTGAGTGACCTTAGTGGGTGTGTATACGAAGGTAGGGCGGACGAAGCTGCAGAAGTCAGAGATAAGTACTTGCACCACTAACACGAAGTCGAGGAAGGAACATACCGCTCAGTGTTGTAGACCTTAGACTCAGAGCCCAAGAGCTCCTTCTCGCGGGCCTTGTCGGCGAAGTGACGACGGACCTGGTCGCGGTCCTCTTCGGCCTGGAGGAGAGGGAGGATGTGGAGACGGCCCCAGACCTTTTCGCGGGCAAGTTCACTATTCAAGTCAATTGCAATCAGCCATTGTGCTTCTTTTTGCGTTCGATCCGGGGACAAGCGGTGGGTTACGTACTTTTGTTCGCGGATACCGTGGAATAGCTTGTAGTAGCCGTAGCCCATTAAAAGGTGCATACCGACGAGGTAGGTGATGGGGCGGAAACCACGGGCGGGGATGTTACGCTATCGAGCATGTTAGTCATGACATTATTGAGGCAGCTTCACGGAGGCAATGGAGCGTGATAGGTGAGGCGATTCAAGTAGAGAATGGGCCCATGGTTCCAGGGCAATTGAAACACCCAATGCTGGGAAACGGGACATTGTGCGCATACCTTGTACTGCACTGGCCCGTAGCCCCCAACGGGGGGCATATCCTGAGGCATTTTGACGACTGACGGACACAGCAGCCTTCAATGTAGTCTTTGGATATCCGTAGGGAAGTTCCGCCGATGATGCTCGACGAAGTTGGAGTGGTGGTCACGTGGTACGGCTTTGGTTTGGTAATGCGGGCTGCGGTTCCGCTCATTGGTTGCTGGGGATTTTTTGGTGCTTGTTCCCGGAGGGTCGGAGCTTGGATTTCTCGTTGGTTTTGAGAAATTACGATTCACCGCGACAAAGAATATCTATTCGGTTTGATGTTGATATAGCATAATGGAGGATGAGGAAAGACCAAGAAAATACCCAAAATTGAGCAATGACGAGGGCCAGGAGGATTCGGAGCCTACAATGACTGGAGCTGTGGGATCCATTCCCCACGAGGATGCCGCGCAGCCCACTACGCAGAACGATGTCGCAAAAAGAGCGCATGATGCCAATGATAGGTCAAAGGACGGGCAGCAAGCCGTGGATGAAAATAAAGATGATGCGCCCAAAATATCGAAGAGACAATTGAAGAAACTCCGACGCAGAGAACAGTGGGATGCGCAGAAGGACCAGCGCAAGGCCATCCGAAAAGAAAAAACGGCCGCAAAGAAACAACGAAGACGCGAGGCATTGAACGAAGCAAGACAGGAAGGTGGTCAAGAAGCAGTAGACCAGCTTCTCCAGACATGGCTGCCAAATCGGCAGAAGTTCAAGCAATCGACTTTACTGCCGATCACCCTCGTCGTTGACTGTGGCTACGATGACTTGATGCTTGAAAAGGAACGGATTTCCCTTTCATCACAGCTTACACGCTCTTACTCCGATAATAGGGGGGCGCCCTACCGTGCTCATATGGTGGTCTCCTCTTTCAATAAATTGCTCAAGGAGCGTTTCGACACAACGCTAGCAAAGTCATATAATAATTGGCAGGGAATCCGTTTTATGGAAGAGGATTTCGCACATGCTGCAGAACAGGCCAAGGAATGGATGAAGGGCCCTAAGGGAGGTCAGTTGGCAGGCATGTTTGCTAACAAGACGGACGCAGCCCCTGAAGACGGAGAAATTGTGTACCTCAGCAGCGACAGCCCAAACACGCTGACAGAATTAAAGCCATACAGTACATACATCATAGGTGGACTGGTGGACAAGAACCGCCATAAAGCAATTTGCTACAAAACGGCAGTGGAAAAGGGAATCAAGACCGCTAAATTGCCTATTGGGGATTACATTCAAATGGCCTCGCGCCAAGTATTGGCGACCAACCACGTTATGGAGATCATGGTCCGATGGTTGGAACTTGGAGATTGGGGTGAAGCTTTCATGAAAGTTATTCCTCAGAGAAAGGGTGGTACACTGAAGAACTCCGGGCGAGGCTCTGAAGATCCATCACAGGAAGGCGATGTTGCCGATGGTGACTCGGATGAAGAACCGGAGCCTGCCGAAAAAAGCGATGAGGCTGCTGCTCCTAGTGCCAATCCTTGATACCATATAGAAGAAAAAACTCTAATGAATGTAAATATTTAAAATGTTGATGTTCTGCTCATACATACCACTACCAGTATACTATACTATACATCCATATAAACACGTGACTATGCGAGCACGTTTCAGCCACATGGAAGCAACGCCACAGCGCCACAGCGGTTGCCACTGACGATCGATGACGGAAGATCAACACAAACAACAACTTTTCCCTCACTTTTTACCGCACAAGACAAGGAGTTCTTGGGATCAGAGAGTCTCCCTTGCTTCAGTGAATATCACTGTACCGTCATTTGTATCGTCATCATCTTGGTGATGGTCCTCTTCTCTTGATATTATCTGTCTTTCTCTTTGTCTTCTTTTCCCTTCCTAGTCGTCCTCTTCTCCACCACTTCCCATCTTACTTTCCTCCCGAACCCTGTTCTTTTCGACGCGTGGAGTAAACAGCCGCTGTTGCTCAGACAGCCAGAACTCGCCGCCATGTTTATGATCCGCAATGGTATGAGCTTACTTCTCCTCCCTCCACTTTCCCTTTATCAGCCCCTCTTTTCATCTCTAATCGTCACTACCCCGCCATCCCACCCCTCCGTCGCTGCACTACCTCCCTGTGATTTAATATCCCCTTGACCTCACTAACAAACACTAACACATTCTATCTCGACTTCTAGTGAGCAAGTTCCTCTTCGGGGATACATCCAAGGAGTCTATCATCGAGATCCCTCAGGGCGAACTTTATCTAGTCCGGCCTCTGTCACCCAAAGGGTACTCGGAGCTTATCTTCAAGGACGCGGCCGCGTCGATTCGGCGTACCGGACAGGAGTATCAATATCAACTCGTTATTCAGAGAGCCTACGAGGAGGGTGAAGAAGAACTAAGCGCCGACGAAGACGAACAAGGTGGTGCCGATAACCTCGACAAGGACGAGAAGATCTTTCTTCTTGACGAAGCTTTGCACTTCCGTACTGAAGTCCGTGAAGGGGGTGCTAAGGTTCTGGCCTGGAGAGACCTGAGCGGTGATATCGGCGATCTATACGAATTCGTTTGTGACCCGTCTGTGCCGTCGGATAAAATCCCTACTTTTGAATTGGCTGCCTTCCAGTGCCAGTACGAGCGGAAATATCGACAAAGTTCACAAAAGGCAACCGAGCAGGATCTTCAACAGTTCTCGTATCAAGAGGAGAAGCCCATCCCCTCCGCGAGCCCCATCGCATCACCAACCAAGTCTCGTGCTCACTCGCTTACTTCTGGGGATTCGACCGCTGCGATGGCTAAGGATGTTGAATATCAGAAGTCCAAGGGACAGATCAAGCCAGCTGATAACGGAGAGGAGCCCACTGTAGCACCGCCATCGGCAGAGCAACCCGAAGCTAAGGAAGTTCTTGCCAAGGAAAAGGCTGAACTGCATATGTTTGACTTCCCAAGTGGAACGTTCGTTATTCAAGACGCCGATGTGACTGCCACTGTGTCTGAGATCGGTAACTGGAAGTATTGGCTTCAAATCAGTGGTAGTGAGAAGGAATGGCTAGGACAGGCTGTTGTCGCGGATATCAACCCAGTCTTTAACTTTGAATATCTTTCCTTTATATTTAACCACTACGCTGAGGATGGCTCCGCATACTCTTGGCTCCTACGATTCAAGGACCAAGAAACTGAGGAACGCTTCCAGGAGGGTCTGATGCAGGCGCTTTGGGAACAGCTAAACGAGATGAAATGGGTCAAGGTAAAAGAGGATGACCGGGAGTACGTTTTGGATGCGTTCCAAGACCTTACCATGGAGGACGCAGCCGACAACCAGGAAGAGGAGGAAGAGGAGGAAGAGATTGAAGAAGACCAGTATGACGGTCAACGCAGCGAACATTATGACAGTGATGAAGAGGAGGATGATGTGGTTACACACGACGATGACGGTAACGTCAACTCACAACTTGCGGTCGGTTACAAGCATGATAGGTCGTTTGTAGTCCGTGGTTCTAAGATCGGTGTCTTCAAACACACGGCAGACAACAACCTCGAGTTCTCTACCAATATCTCTAAGGTGGAGACACCAAACGGCAAGCTGTTTAGCCCCAAGAAGGTTATGTTGCATGCCGAGGATTCCAACATGATCCTTCAAAATGGTGATGACCCTAACTCTCTTTATCGCATGGACCTGGAGTATGGTAAGATTGTCGATGAGTGGAAGGTTCATGATGATATTCCTGTCAGCACATTTGCACCCGAAACCGTAAGTCTAACGATCACCAAGTGTTTATACCTAAAACCTTTCTGACTGTCACAGAAATTCTCCCAAATGACCAATGCGCAAACCTTCGTCGGAGCATCTCAGAATGCGCTGTACCGGATTGATCCCCGTCTGGCCGGCAGCAAACTTGTCGATGCGGATTTGAAGCAGTATGCTAGCAAGAATGACTTCTCGTCCGTGGCCACGACTGAAAAGGGATACATCGCGGTCGCTTCGAACAAGGGAGATATTCGCATGTTCGACCGCCTGGGAATCAACGCCAAGACTCATATTCCTGCACTGGGTGAACCTATAATTGGTCTAGATGTGTCCGCCGATGGCCGCTGGGTTCTGGCTACATGCCGTACCTACCTTCTTCTCATTGACTCGCTGCAGAAGGAAGGCAAGAACGAAGGCAAGCTTGGCTTTGAGCGTTCATTCGGCAAAGACTCTAAACCTCAACCTCGTCGTCTTGGTCTCCAGCCAGCCCATGTCGCACAGTTCCAGCACGAAACCAAGAAGCCTCTTGCGTTCACCCCAGCTCGTTTCAATACTGGTGTTGACTCACAAGAGACGTCGATTATTACGGCAACAGGTCCTTTCATCGTCACATGGAGCATGAAGAAGGTGCTTGCTGGACGCAAGGATCCCTATACAATCAAGCGGTACTCTGAAGAGGTTATGGCGGACAACTTCCGATTTGGTTCTGACAAAAATGTCATTGTCGCTTTGCCGAACGAGGTCAACATGGTTGCCAAGAGAGCTCTCCAAAAGCCCACTCGTGAAAGCATTGCAGGCCCCCCGGTCACCCCAAGCCGTCGGAGCACTCGGTGGGGTAGCCGGTTGGGACGAGATGATATTGTCAACTCGCCATATTAAACGTCCTGACCTGTTCTCTAGTCAAGTGACTTTTGACTTATTTCATTGCCTCGGTTTCTCTTTTCTTGTACACTGCATACCCCCTTTTGTCTTCCTTTTGCCTTTTTCTTTTTTCTTTTTCTTTTCTTTTCTTTTCTTTTCTTTTTTTTTTTTTTT